CACTGGTACACAGACGTAGGACACTAGGATAATATTAGGAAAATAATCCACAGAACAATTTAAGAGTATTGCTGATAAAAACTGGAAAACCTAAAATAAGGATTAAATATGTTGAAGTGGCGAATGCTAAGATTTTATTATTTATATTTTAAAAACATAAGTTCTGTTTTGAACGTGTGGTAGATGAGGTAAACAATAACACAGCCAAGTTAGCCAACCATTTGTGGTTTTCGCAACCTGTCCTCAGTCACTGGGAGGACACTCTTCATGCAAACTGCACCTACTATCAAGAAGAAGAAGAAGAAGGAGATATCTTTACGTACACGGCACGTACTATAAAGAGAGAGGAAGAACTCTAGAAGGAAACTACGTTAGCAAATTGCGTGTATAGCCACGAAGAAGAGACATGAGTTACTCTGTACATGTTCTCTATGATGGCTATTCGCGAATGGAAGATAGCAAAATGAAGGCCAATTGTACCTGTACCCTAATTAAAGGGCCAAATAAAATGATAGTGGACACTATGACGGCTTGGGATAGACTGAAGATAATATCAGGTACTACACTCTTGTCAGGTCTTTTGGGTGGGCTATATTTAATCTTCTATAATAATAATATTTTATTTACAAGAAGGTACAATGGATTGGTGAGATTATATTAGAGGGATATTTTTACATTCTTGCAAAGCCAATAACACACATAGCGTCTCGGTGAAATTCTTAATCTAACATACCAGGTAAGGTGAAAAAGTACATTATGCTAAGGTTTTATATCAACAGTATAAATTGACAGGTGATTACACTGTTAGAGATGAAGTACTTAATTAGTCTTAAGTACTAATATTGGAGAAGTGGGTAGGACAAGAACAGTGTAGGTTTGAAGTACAAGGTAGGAAACTATGAGGATATAATCAGGTACTTTTTGGGGGTCCGTCTAATTACGGCAAGCTACCACAAGCTACACAAGCTTCACAAAGCTTCCTGGCAATACGTTAGTAATGAATAAATATGATATGTTAGGTTAGGCTGACCTAACCTAACCTAACCTAACTTAACCTAACCTAACCTAACCCAACCTAACCTAACCTAACCTAACCTAACCTAACCAAACTAAACCTAACCTAACCTAACCAACACTTGGATCGTTGACCTGATTTGGTGTCACCAGCTCTTTATTTTCGTCTAATTTCTTTATAAAAAGATACTTTTTCAGATTAAAATTATGTTTTTTCGTGTTGTACATTCAGCACCAACATTATAATGAGTAAATATATCATATTTATTCATTACTAACGTATTGCCAGGAAGCTTTGTGAAGCTTGTGTAGCTTGTGGTAGCTTGCGGTAATTAGACGGACCGACTTTTTGGTTTTATTTTTGAACAAGGTATAGGTTGGACAATATTTAATTCATCAGGGAGAGAGTTTCAAAGACTGGGCCCTTTTATTTGCATGAAGTGTTTGCACAGATTTAGCCTGATTCAGGGGATAACAAAGAGATATTTATTTCTGGTGTGATTATTATTGCTAAATATGGGTTTTATTACACCTATCAAGGAAAAGTTTCAGATCAAGAATAGCATTTAGGAACAAGGTTTTTGTACATGTAGATAGCATATAAGAATGTGTGGAGTGAGTGTATGTTTAGCATGTTAAGGCAATCCTTAGCAATGTTGATTGTTGGAGAATCAGCAAGATGAGATTGCTGGAGAAGTGTTGCAGTACATATAATTTATGTCTTGGACAGGAAGTCTGTACTAAGCTTATGGAGGTCACCCTAAACTAACTACTAACATTTTTCAGGCTGCAGCCCACAACAGTTGTCTAACTCCTGGTTACCTGTATCATTGTTAGGGGAACAGTGGCATTGGGTGAAAGGAAACGTGTTCGACTGTTGTCTTGCCTGAGGGATTGAACCCCCTGGTCCCTCTGTTGTGAGTCGAGGACATAAACCACTATATCAGGAAAAACTCATGTTTCATTAAGGTTATATAATATATATTTTATTAAATGGGAGCATATAAAAATGAATATGCCTCAGTATTTAATTTAATATATTGTGTATTACTTTACTGTACATACATTGAATATCTATGAATAATAAGTATTAGGGCATCACAAATTAATGTTATTATTAAACTTTCAATGTACCTCATTACACGTGAGCCCTTTCTTTCACCAATCTTCTTCTTCATGATGTGCCTGGGCATACTTCTCAGTAGGTCACATCTTAGAAAGGGGTAATTTAAAGTAGGCATGAAAACCTTGGCATGAAGTTTATTTGAATTTATACAGTTGCTAAAGGGAAAAATTCCCTTCAGCAACTCGACAATCATTGTTCTTTCTCTTAGTTCACTGGCTTTAAATTACTTAGACCACTTGCTGAACAATCTTGAACAGGTCTTAAAAGCACATGAAATTTTTAAGTTTTCAAACTTCTGGTGTGCTAACAAACTATTGAATTCTTTATTACTTAAAATCAAATCAAAACAAAATCAAAATGTTTATTCAGGTAAAAGTACATACATAGGAGATGAGTTACAAACATAATGTTGGATTTATTGATAGCTAGTAATATAATACCTAAAGCCACTAATACGCACAGCGTATCAGGCAAGGTGTGGGGAAAAAAATCCACTTAGACTAAAGCTTAATACTAATTGAGATTAAAGTATAAATTGTGCAGAAAAAGAAAAAATGGGGGGGGGGGAACGTGGCAGAAATCGGCAATTATACAACTTATTCAAACAGTATTGTTTGAAAATATCAAGACATGGGTTGACAATTTGAGGGTAAGGTAGGTTACATGATGTTAATTAGGCAGTAGTTTGTTTTCTCTTAAAGTGGTTAAAAATTTTCTTGAAAATAAATTATTTTGAATTTTTTAAGCATGTTGAATTGATGTAAATATGTAATACCATTACGTGTTATCGTTTTAGAATTCCCATTGTTAAAGACGGGAAGCCTCTGTGTAATTACCTAAGTATAGTTACAGGATAAGAGGTGGTGTAGGTGAGGTGGCATGTAATGCTTTGAAGCTACTGACGTTTATGGCCCACTCCACCTCACTTAACTTGATATAACTGTCTACCACTCTGTTTACAAAAACAAAAAACTTTTTTATATTTTTTCCGCATCTTTGTTTCCTTTAGCATGAATCTGTGTTTTCTTGTTCGGGAAGTTGCTGGTTTCAGGAATTCCTCTTTGTCAATCTGGTTGATTCCTGTTAGTATTGTGTAAGTGGTGATCATATCAGCTCTTTTTCTTCAATATTTTTCAAGCTTAGACATATTTAACCCCTCTAGCCTCTCTCTGTAACCCTTGTTTTTCAATTCCGGAAGCCATTTTGTAGCATGCCTTTGCACCTTTTCCAGTTTAGGTGCCCAAAATTTCTTTAGTATTTTGCAATCCATGCATTTAAAGCATGGATGCTACTCAATCTACATAAAGTTACTCATTTGGAAAGAGTAGCATAGGCTCCTCAAACAATGTTCTATATGTGGTCCTTAGGTAACGGTCGTCTATCTAGAATCTGCCCTACATTGTTATTTAATTAATTATTATTATTATTATTATGATTGTTATTATTTTTTTATAAGAAGGTACAATGGTTTATGAGATTGCTTAATACTGTATTGGTATTTTTACTTTCTTGCAAAGCCACTTATACAGTACTCATAGTGTTTTGGGCAGAAATCTTTCGGGCCTCTCTCTTATCACAATTTTTTTAAAGCTTTTTTGCATAATTTGTATGTTGTGTGGGGTCTATTTTCTCCTGTTTCACATTTCATAATGTGGCATTTATTCACATTAAATTCCATTTGCCAAGTTTTTATCCATACACTTATTTTGTCCAGGTCTTCTTGAAGGTCATAAGAATCATCTAAGTTTCTGTAATATCTTAGCATCATAAGCAAACATGTTCATATAATTATCATTAAACACAGACACATAGACACACACACATGCACGCACATATGCATGCATACTATCATGCACACTTACTCATGTCAGTACAGTAGTTTCAAAGTACTATACGACAGAGTACTGGGAAGATGGGACAACACAAGCGGAACTCTCATCCTGTAACTGCACTTAGGTAATTACATAAAAATTAGTATATGCAGCAGTTGTGTGGGGCCCAAATCTCAAGAAGCACATAAATAAACTGGAAAAGTTGCAACTGCATTCTACAAAATAGCTTCAGGAACAGAAAAACAAGAGTTACGAGGAGAGACTAGAGGCGCTAAACATGCCAAAACTAGAAGATTGAAGAAAAAAAGGTGATATGATCACCACTCACAAAATTCTAACAGGAATCGACCAAACTGACATACAGGAATTCCTGAAACCAGCAACTTCACGAACAAGAGGACACAGATTCATGCTAAGGAAACAAAGGTGCCGAAAAATATTAAAAAGTTTTCTCTTGCAGAGTGGTAGATGGTTGGAACAAGCTAAGTGAGAAGGTGGTGGAGGCCAAAACCGTTAGTAGTTTCAAAGCGTTATTCAGCAAAGTACTGGGAAGACAGGACACAACGAGCATAGCTCTCATCCTGTAGCTGCACTTAGGTAATTACACAAACACACACAACAGTTGATAAACTCAATTTCAAGAGTAGACACTATGGGGAACTTAGAAAATTCTTTAATGTGTTTAATTGGACAGACTTGTTGCTAGGCAAGAAAGTAAATGAGATGTATGCCAAATTTTGCAAAATATACGATGAAGGCACACAAACATTCATACCAACATTAATTTGGGAAGGGGTTACAGCCAGAGTCAACACCTGCATCAGAGGAGCTCCAAGATATTTCAAAATCCTAAGTATTGTAGAACAGGTTGATGACTGTGAGTGGTGTCCCAATAAACATAATGGTGTAGTGTACTTGAAAAATAGGTGAGATAAAACAAATATGCAAGGGAAAAGTGAAATAATTGGATAAAAAAAGTTGCCATAGTGTAAACAGCGCAGACGACAAAATTCAAGATGGCCATCAGCAAGAAGAAAAACAAAACAGCTGGATTTTGGTAGATTCAATAAGGAAGGCAATAATATAAGCAGTCTACACAATAAGTTGGCAAAATTACACATTATTGTGAACTATCATGTAGAAATAATCAGTAAATTGAGAGAAAGTAATGACCACTTGAGCAGCAAAGTATTAGATCTTGAAGGGCTAGTGAAAGAATTATGCAAGGACAAGAATCAATGGGAAGCTAAATGCAAAGCCATGGAAGAGGAAAATAAACTATTGAAAATAGTTTTTGAAGAAGTTAAAGCAAATCTAAACATAAATACCTTCAGTAGGTTAGGTAAGGAAATCCAACAGGAAAAATAGATGGAGGAGGTTACACAGGCAATAGAACAGTGCAAGAAGGATATGCAACTCACCTATGTACAAGTGGCCAGGGAGAAGGAAAAAAATAGAAGCAGCTTTAAAGGAAGTCAAACACTGCAGCAACCAGGATAAAACAAACATTAGTCTGGAAGTCAGAAAGAAACTGGCATCAAATCTGAAATTGGTGCAAAACACAGTCGATTGAAGTTTCCTATTA